TCGCGGCAGCCGCACTGGTATCGCACACGTGGCCGAATTGGGGTCATGTCCGATGACCCGCAAGAGGGGAGAATGAGAATTAGAATATCTGTTCACAAACTGAAGATAATGGAGCCTAGACCCAGAAGGGGAGACCGGGTCGGGTGCCAGACTGATGCGCCTTCTCAGCCCTGCTTAGGGTGTTTGGCCACAAGCCTTGGCGGCACAACTCTAAATTAACCTCTCTTGTCAGCGTGGTTCTTTCACACGGCTTGCGGAGGTTACGGTCCTGCTGACTGTCGAAACACCTACACCTCCGACAAAATCAAAGACCCAACTTCGCGTTCAACCCAACAGCGTAAGACTCGTGCAACCAGTCCCCAGACACGTGCAGACGGAGCCCGACTGGGACCTAATAGAAGTCCCCGTCTGCATTCAGGGGCATCAAACAAGGTGCGTTTCTCCAGACCGAACAGCGCTCCTACGAGGCCGAATCCAAACAACGCTTGCACTTCCGTCCACTGTCGCCCAACTGGTGGCTGGTCGTGAAAAAGGAAGTTGTACTCTTAGCAGGCGGAGCTACAGGAGGTGGAGGGGGAGGAGTAGGAGGAGGAGGAAGAGGAGGGGAATGGCCGCATTCCTTTGCCCTCTGGAAGCCGATGATCATGGAGCCCACAGCCGCGCAAACGAGCCTGTGCCTCACCAAGTAGGCCCGGCGCTCTATGTTCATGGTACGATGGCGAACATACGGGGCAAGCCGCACCACGTTCGCCATCATGCCTAGTATCTCGTCGGATGTGGCGTTGCCCACAACATTCAAGCCGTCAGCACGTCCTGCCAACATGTCACTCCCTGCCAAAAGAGAACGCACAAGCTCGACCTCGATGTCGTTGATCTCACTCCACGACATCGGCTGCTGAATCTAAGCCCATACATCGGCATCCTCTCCACGTGGTTCACGAAACCTTTGTTTGATCCATGCCTCGCACACATTCTCACAATCCGTGGTTTAATGTATTGAACCAACACACTGGCCCATATAGCTAGCCACGACGCCTTCAACTCTCCTCTCGGTACTGATTGATTCCTGCCTGCAAAACCTCCCGTGACGCGAGCGTTCACGATGGGCGGGTCGAATGTCAAAACCACCACACCGAAAGCCACCAGTGTCATGCGTGGATCGGCAGGTCCAGCACCTCCGCTCACATCCCCGCTAAGAATGGCGGGTGAGGCCCAGGTGCCTCGGGGTAGGCACCCAGACTCGACCAGTTGCACTCCTGGCCTTAACCACTCGTCCTGGCACTGAGGGTCAGGCGCCCGTACCCAAGATGAGGGTATAAGCCCTCGTAACCTGAAACATTGAGAAGTCTCACGTCACGATGCGCCCCTGCTGCTGGCAACAAGGCGCCAATGGCTTCGTATACTGGGGAATCACCGTTGCCCCGACATGTCTACGACCGACGATGCGACGTCTCGACGGCATTCCGACAACGCGCGCATTTGAGAAACTCGGCCAGATTTTCCCCTCGATGCCAGCGAAGCCATCAACGGGAAACCCACAACCATGATCAGCAGCCGGAAGTTCCCATTCGGCGGGCCCTCGAAGGACCCATCCAAAGGATAACGCAGATATAAGCACCGCCGAATGCGGGCCTCGTGTGCGCCGGTGACTTCGCGCTTCGCCGAGAGGTCGAAGCGCGGCCAGCACCTCGCCTCGTGCTCTCCGCACAGCCGATCCGATCTCAAGATGACCCCGCCACTGCTGCAACCGCGACACGACCGCCCCTCGAGCAAACTTCTGATCTGGATCTTGCGCAGGTGCCTGAATGGCCAGAACGGGCGTGACGGATCTTCCCGTAGTGCGCACTCGACATGCGGCTCCAAATTTGCGCCCATACCGTAGGAGATACTGCCCGACAGCACCGTGTAGCTGATAACCGTTGCTACCGACTGCCTGTCCTGTCTTGCGCCAGCCAACGCGCTCGATGACTCGCTTCACCTCGACGCCCCCGAACACGTCCACCGCCTAGGCGCGCCCCAAGGCCAACGCAACTACGAGCCGCGGTCAACGAGACGCTTTTCTGCTTGAGAAGCCTCCTGCAAAGACGTTCCCCCTGACTGCAGCGTCCCATCGCGGCTATGTCTCGGCGCTCCAACGCCGGATCCAGGATTCCCGCGCATTGCCCCCGACTCGCTCAAACATAGACATGAGCCCGATTACCACGGACTACCACGAAGGTAAAAGCGGGCCGCGCCAGAAGAGCCTCAACGCAAATAAGGAGGTCCGCCAGGGCACTTAGCCCAACGTTAGGAAGGCGCCCTGGAACCCCAGGGGGCACCCTATCAACCCCGAGACCAATTGCACGTTTCATTCCCCGTAGAGCAGCACGGAAGAGGCCCCGCGCACTCAGAGGAGGAAGAGAACCCGAATGACCGCCGACGGCGGCTCGAACGACGCCCAACACCGAGGAGAGAGCTGCTTCTGGATCCGTCATCTCAGGAGCCCAGACTTCCAGCCACCGCCCAGGCATGAAATCTGCGGTGTCTTTGCGGCGGTAGAGCATCACCCTTTCATCGCGGAGCTCCGGAGGGGGCGAGCTCCTTGCCGGGTCGAGCGAGGCAACGCGCCCGGCACCTCGAAGGGTAGGGCCCACCCCCTGAGCTCCCGGAGCGATGCTACCGTCGCCCTTCCCTGACTGCGCTCGGCAATCGCATCAGCACACGTCGAGAACCGCAACAACGCGTCGAGGGATGCGTCTGAAACAGCACTAGGCACACGCAGCCACCCCGACCACCCTGGCCCAAGCCCTTCGCGGATCAATAAATAGACCTGCCCAGGACGATCCTCAAATAAGCCTACGCGTGCCCTTTCAAGCTGCTGCCGCTGCTGCTGAGGACGACCGCCCCTGCAACTGCGATGCCCATGAAGCCCAACGAGTACAGCACGAGGCCGAGCCCACCAGTTGGATACGGAATCACGCAGAGGGGCAGTCCTATATTCATGATGAACCTGTA